CAACATACAAGAATAAGTTATCAATCAAGCAGTTAAGCAATTGCATTCACGATTTATGAAACAATAATTGGATGAAATCAATTCATATCACGTGAAAGACTGGCCTTGGGCCTTGGCCCTAGGCGAGCACTAACATCGGGTGCAGCAAACGATAAGCAAATAACATAAATATAGTCATGCCACCATTATTCGATAGTTCTAATCAACATACTAACATTCATAGCCATAGGTATAATTATGGCATCATAGATTATAAGCATACATGTGCATCCCGTAGGATATAACATATTTCATAAATTCCGTCATTTCGCTAATTCTTATAAACTTTAGTCTAATCCAGGCGTACGTAAGAAATTCTTTTTCAAATGCATAAATGGAAACTATCAATCATATATACACACTATAAAAAGAAAAAGACTCACTCACCTGAAGTTCGCGCTACGACTCTCTAGCATGAATATTGAGGCGTCACGAACGATCGTCGGCTAGAACAAATATCAAATCACATCTCAGAATTCTTATCGATAGAACACGTAACTCACATAAAACACATCCCCAAAGACATTCTAGAATGATTTGTAACCCATTGACCAAAAGTCAATTGTCGGTCAAAGGTCAACGGTAGGGTCCACAACCCTACGTAACTTGATCCAGAAGATGCACACTTAGGATTTTTGATCCATAACTTCCAAGATCCACATTATGCTTCTAAAACAGCATACTAAAATCTTACCACGATCCGACGGTCGGATCTCCGCCAATCACGATTCAAGTGATGGTCAATGTTTTATTTTACGAACTTACAAATACAAGTCAGGAAGATCCGTATGACAGATACCTGATCCGTCAGTTCCTATGGTCCTCAAATATTACGTACTATATTGTACTAAGATTTGGTGACGATCCAACGATCAGATCGTCAATTCATATAAGGATTAAGTGGCGGTCTCTATCAAAACTATGTTCAAACGATGAGATTTCATCAATCGGACTTCACCTAAGGAATTGGGGTATCAAATTTAGCCTAGGAAGGTCAGGGGGTGCCTTGGCCCACACACCGCCGCACACGGTGGTCGGCCTGCCTCGGTTCACCAGAAAATTCAACTATTTCCAAAATTTACCAAATTTTACAAGCATATAGAGCAAGTCAATGGGACCAATTTGTATACATGGGCTGAGATCCAATTCAGCCAAGAAACACCTGAATTTTGCCTCAATCCGCCGGAAACCCAAGAAATAGGTGTCCCTTGATTCATCCTCAATTCGAACCCTAACGCCCTCAATCTTGTTTGGGCCTTGTTCCTGAGGTTGAGAGAAGTTGAATGAGTGTGGTGGTTGTCGTCGGAGCTAGCAAGATTGACGAATTGCCGTCGGATGTCCATCATACCCACTGGTGCGATTCATCACAAAAATATGGTCAAACCCAGTCAGGTTTGGATGGGAATGTAAGAGAGGACATCGGTGAGCCTGGTGATGGTGTTGTATAGCTTCAACTTGCAGGAAATCCGATGGAAACGGTGACAGAAGGAAACCAGAAAACGGGTTGGAGTCAGGTGAGGTGTATGGGCCTGACGAGATCCGATTTTCCACACTTCTTTCCTTTCTCTCCTTTCTCTTGTTTCTGATTGGCTTCCTACCTGCCTCTTTCCTCCTTTAATTCGTCCCCCTGATTCATCTCTTCTTTCCTGCAACTCCTTCATTCATTCCCCTTATTTTCTGCGGCGAGGTGGTGGAGGTGTTCCTGGGGAGTGAAGGTAAGTGAGAGAGATGAATGAGGAGGGATGATGACAAAAATGAAATAAAGAGAGAAAGGAAGACAGTGAGAGGGAAAAAAGAGTATGACATGTGAGAGAGAATGGTTTTCAAAAAGCAATGATGGTGATGTGTGAGTGATAATAAGAATTGATAGTTGAGTGTGTAGGTTTAGATAGAGAGGGAGAAAGTGACGTGAAACACGGCAGAAAGAAGGTGGAGAGTTCGAGATGTATGAATCCTACGTTCAAAATTTTCATCATAACTCCAATTTCAATTCCGCTTGCATCCGCATGTTTGCAAAAAATGAGTACTATTCAAAAACAGTAAAATAAGACCAGAAAAGTGAAGGGAAAGTTGAGGTCGAAGTGGAAGGCCTACATGGCATCTTAGGGGTATTTTGATAATTTCACTACTATTGAGAATAAAATACGATAAATCCTAGGATAGGATGTCAAATTACTCATTTTAGACTAGATGTATTTCTATACAAGGATTATAAACGAGTTGTACAAAGATACATAAGATATAAGAAAACCTTTCTTCATTATGAAATTCTTTATGGTACAAGAGCGCCATCTTGGTGCCTGGTATTGCTTTCTTTTTCTTCCACCAATATCATTGACAACCATGTCTAAAACTCCATCATAGAAGAAGCCCACCACCATCATCTCGCCTATAGAGGTTATGGATTTCAACGATCCATATTATATTCACCACTTAGACCATATTGGGCATTCTCTTGTCACTTGACCCTTGGAGGGTGACAACTACGCAATGTAGAGTCGTGGCCTGATGATTTCTCTAGAGGTTAAGAACAAACTCAGGTTTGTCAGTGGCTTAATCAAAGTGTTGTTAGAGGAGTCTCTTGTGATAAAGCCCATTCTATGGTTTTTCAATTCGTAACTTGGAAGACTCCATATGTATTAAGCACGGTTATGTTAGGCGGACTACGAACATTGGTATATAGCCTCGTTGTCCGGAGTCTTCCAATGCACCATCCGACTTCCAAAAAGTTTATGCAACCTAAGGGTTGTGGGTCATACACTCAAACCTAGGCTCTGGCCATTTGGAAGAATAATCGAAAAGGGCGAACCAAAAACCAGCTGAGTGGTGGCTTTGAATTCCTATTACGAAGTACGATTACTTCTATCCATGACCAGTGTACTACGTCAAGTATGTTATGCCGCAATCCCGTGCCTAAAGCAAGTTTGAATGAGGCATCCAAACTAGGAAATCCTCTAGATGAATTTTATTCCAGTAGAACTCTGATTCGCAGAAGTCAACTAAGTGTAATTTGATCTGAAAAGCTCAGGTCCAAAGCACATAGGGTTTCCCAAAAGGATTCCAAAGGTGTTTTCGATCCAACATGCATACGATCAAGTCCCTAACAAACTTTTGTTTAAGGTTTACTAAGGACGAACGTGCAATTCGAACTAGGAAGGAAGCCCTTCCCGGTTACATGTTGCAATTATTAAAATCATCATACCTGAAATGAGGCATGGTGAATGAAGAAATGGAATTAAAGTCATGCTCAACTTTTTATACAGCACTCAACTTAATCTTCTACAAGTGTTAAACAATCATTATTACTTAACCAACAAGTCTATTGAAACATGTCGGACTGACATTAAGATCTGTAGGTCATTCCGGACAAGATTCGTCACTTTCTCATCCTTAATCTAATCAAAGCATCAAAGCAAGTTTCGGAGTAAGAGATTTTTCATGGGTCGTAGGCTTGGTGTCGGAGTAAGATGGTACTCCGATTATCGCAGTGGAAATCTTTATAAACACTAAGTTTAAGGATAATATTTTTTATGCAATGTTATTGAGGGGGTCGTTTGAAGCTCACCTAAGCCTACAACCTTATTCTTTTTTAACTCTGTTACTTAATACTCCAAGTTGGTTAACTCCATAAAGACTATTAGATTAAATGGTAATCTGTGAAAATGAAGTAAGGATGGAAAGTTCTAAATATTTTACTCTAACAAGATTAAAAACTTGAGGGAAATAAATTTAGCAAAATGTCTTCTAAGGCATCTAAGTCCTTCTGGGGATAATGCAAAATATGCACATTCCGCCTTGCATCCAGCTTTTTAGCTACGCATTCATAACTTCGACCAGGGATCTACAATATGGTTTGGAACTTCGAAATATCAGATGTTTGAAAGACAAGCAAGTAGGACTAGTTAGACTTGGCTAGCTCCAGATCAAAGAAGTTCGAAAGTCATTATGATTTGTATTTTGGAAAAAGGTCATTCTGGTATCTATCCATTCTCGAGCGGAATACACTCTTGGAAGCATAGTTAGGGGATTTAGTGGACTATGATTTTTTGGGCCCACACCTAAGCCAAGGCACCTTTGTCAATGATGTATTTCGATGTAACACATCATGTATACTCTTTTCTTAGAACTACAACAATGATTTGATTCTCCATCCCTCGAGATATGTCCGTATTCAATTACACTCACCCACTCCCAATCAACCCATTCTCCCCTCGCCGGAATTGATGAGAGTTTCGACTGAATTACGCCTCCAGTCGTCCTTTGCCAGAGTTTATGGGAATTCCAGCACCGACTAACAAAATTGAAACTGGATTGGATCATTTAAAGTTGAACTGAGCCAATTTTCATAAAAGGAATTTTTTTTTTTCAAATCGAACAGTACCAAAGCTTTTCCTTCGATTAGTCCTAGGTTCCAGGCCCATTTCAAATCGATCCCATTCTTACTTAGACCGTCAGATTGATTTTCAAGAGCCTTGGACCCAAAATTCCCAAAAAAATACCACTCTTTATCATTCTTTGCTAGATGAGTTGGTGTGGAAAACTCCAATTCTAGCTTCCTTTGCAATGAACTTATTAGAGGGCAAAGCCTGCTGACTTCACTTATTGTCTCCATAGAGATTTTTTTTCCATGCTTTTTAACACCTGAATCATGGTTCATTCTCATATTTCAAACAAAAGAAGAAAATTTAAAACAAAAAAGTTATCGAACAAGTCCCAAAACAACTATTAAATAGAAAATTTTTATGACACAAATACATGGTGGTTACAATGTTGGCCAACAAACATGCTATGCCACAATGGCCACGTGATTAACATGTGGTGTGATGCAGTTATAAGTGCGAGATGACGCGGCAGACCACCAGCAGCCAAGGCGAGAATCGTAATTGCGAAAATAACGCGAATATTCCGACTCTTCCTCCCATTCCATCAAGCTTCCTTTTTCCTATTCCATTCGAAGAAGAAGAAGACGACGACGACTAATTCAATTCAATTCAATTGATTCAGGTTCGGTGGGCGACCTTCTCACTTGTTCTTCGAGAACCCTATTCCCGCTACTATAAATCCCCCAAAATTCAATCCCCAAATTCCAACTTCTTTTCCCCACGCAGAGATTCTCCGATTCTCCTAAATAATTTTCGCATCGGATCAAAACTCTGATCGACTGAATTGATTGAATTGAGATGTTTAACGGAATGAATATGATGGATCCCGAGTTGATGAGGCTTGCTCAGGAGCAGATGAGTCGCATGTCTCCCGCCGAGTTCGCCAGGATCCAACAGCAGGTCCAATTTCAACTTCTTCTTCTTTCTCAATTTCCCAATTTTTAGGGATTCGATTCGATTTGGATTTTTGATAGATTTTGTTCAGTGTTCCTTTTTGTCTTTGTTTTTGTTTTTTTGTTTTGTATGTTTTTGCATAATCGGGTGATTTGATTAAGTACCAATATTGAATTTGGACTCAATGCTTTTATGCATTTTGTGATTATTGGGATTATTGGGTCTCTGAAACTTGAGCTATGGACAACATCTTTGTTACATTGGAGCCGTATGCAGTCAAGTGAAATCCAATCCACTAAACAATTTGATTTATGGACAGCTTTAATCCTTCGCATCACACGTATGTCATACATTTCATATGGTACAGTGATGCATTGCTGGTGGGGTTTTACAAATTGGTTGACTATGGAGTGTTTACGTTATATAGGAAATTTGGAGGTTTTTCTTTGTCATTAGTTTTGCTGGCACCGAGTTAGCCGATGTTTATTCCCCAGATACCGACATTGCTTCTTCTCTGGGAAAAGAAGTTCCCACAATTTTTTTTCCTTTTATTTCTAAATTTTAGTTGATTTTGGTTAAGTGGTGTAGTTGGTGATGGTGGTGGTGGTTGTTTGACTGGCATTGCAGATGATGGCTAATCCAGAATTGATGAAGATGGCCTCGGAGGGCATGAAGAACATGAGGCCTGAAGACTTGAAACAGGCTGCAGAGCAGTTGAAGCATACACGTCCGGAAGAGATGGCTGAAATTGGTGAGAAGATGGCTAGTGCCTCGCCTGAAGAGATAGCAGTTATGCGTACCCGTGTTGATGCCCAGATCTCTTATGAACTCAATGGAGCTCAGATGCTGAAGAATCAGGTTGGATGCTTAGATGTTATGTGGGACTATAATTCTTAGGATTAGAAGATTTTACACAATATATGTTGAAACCAATGTATTAAAAGCGTGAGGCGTGGTGAGGCGTCCGAGGGATAGCCCAGCCTAGGCGTGAGGCCTCACGGGACCTAAATTTTTATATATATACACTAAGCGTACACATATATTATATTAAAAGAAAAGAAGATTATTAATCAATAATCATCCTAAGCACACACATATATTATAAATACATATACACACACACATATATTATATTATATATATAAAATAGAGGATGAAAAGCACAATGAGCACACATATAACAATGCACGCAGACAGCACACACATCCATTATATAAAAAATTAAAATTAGAAAAAAGGGCAGAGAGACGATAGTGCAAGGAAGAGGTATAAGGCAGTTAAAAGTCTACCCAAAATTTGGGTTTGGGAGTTAAAAAAAAAAAAAAAAATCCCTGAGGCGCGCCTAGGTGGTTCTGGTGACGCCTTCCGCCCACTCCCTCAAAACAGAGGCGGCAACCCTCAAGCCTAGCCTCACAGGGCACCTAGGCGTGCCCTGAGGCGAGCCTTTTAAAACATTGGTTGAAACTTATTCCGTTTTTTCTATTGTTAATAACACAATCAAATGATTCATGGCTTTGTAGTGTAAGCTGATTCTCCCAGCCTTAATATTGGTTTTATTTTCTTTAGTTTAGATCTGTTATGTTGGACCCATTTTAGGAGAATCTTGATTTTGATGCCTAGTGTACATCCTTCTAGAGTCGTGAAAATCAATTTGTATGACATCAAGAAATTGTAATCATGCCAGTAGATTTTACTCCTGTGCAGTTGTATTATTTAAACTCAAGTTGTAGAGTTGTAATTTTAGCATGCGTAAACAGTATCCTGATTCTCTGATTGAAATCCATTTCTAGTGGAGATTTTAAGTCATTCCAAGCTTACTAGTGTGGTATGGGCTGGGTTAGGGTTGGGAAAGATAGGCTGATCATTAGGCTCTGGTAAGGTTATTTTTGGAAAGCTAAATATCTGGCTGTTTTCTGATTTGATACCCTATAGACTTGCTCTTTAATGCATAAGTAATCAGGATAAAGACAAATATTATCGTCTACTGACTCGGTCATTGTTTCTTCATACATTAAAGTATTGTTTTGGTGTCAAATTTCTTTTCTTATAATATATCACATTTGCAGGGAAATGCACTTCACAGCCAGGGCAAGTTCAATGAAGCTATGCAGAAATACTTGCTTGTAAGTGCAATTATAATACCTTTGGTTTCTTTTTTTCCCCCTTTACATTGCAGAGTCGGGCCTCCAACTGATCATAAATACTCCCGTGTCTAAAATTATAGGCAAAGAAGAACCTAAGTGGGATTCCATCTTCTAAAGGCAGGTCACTTCTGATGGCATGCTCACTCAACTTAATGTCTTGTTACTTGAAAACAAGGCAGTATGACGAGTGTATAAAAGAAGGTTCTGAGGTATATGAGGAAACATGCTCACAGATACATGTATCTTCATGTTTTTTTCTTGCAACCTACTGACTTTAATATATTTTAAATGATATATCTTATTTCAGGTTTTGGCATATGACGCAGACAATGTCAAGGCTCTTTACCGTAGAGGTCAAGCGTATAAAGAAATAGGTCAATTTGAAGTGAGTATGCTTATAAACATATGCATATGATTTGTTCGCAGATAATTCTGAAGCATCTTTTGAAGCATGTTTGGTTTACATAATTTTGACCTTTGTTTCCTATACCTGATGGTCATTGTTGCATCTCTTAGGGTGCTGTCTCTGATCTGAGCAAGGCACGTGAAGTTTCACCTCATGATGAAACTATTTCAGATGTTTTAAGGTGTGGCCCTTTCTTTTGTTCTTTGTGCATATCTGTCTCTGATCTGATCATCCTGTTCTTGTGGCTTCATTGAAATATGCCATATGCATGGCAGCTATATGGTCATAATAAACACATTTATAGGGGCATTTGAAGAGTGATGTATAGCCTTTTTCTTTTCCAATTTTTTCCCAGATGCTGGGATAGAAAATGGAGATTGTTTTGACATTGTAAATGATATTTATGGTTATTGCAGGGATGCCAAAGAAAATTTGCGTAAAGAGGGTGGTTCGTCTGGACCAAGAAGTATGCTTCTTATTTCCACCTTTAAAATTCTTGACCTAGATGCATGGACCCATACCTTTATAGGATATTGAATATTGATTGTTTGATAGGAGGATTAGTAATTGAAGAAATAACTGAAGAAGTTGAGACTGTGTCATCTGCCAACCATAAAAGGTCTTCTACAGAGTATTCTGCGGCACAGGAAACTAGCAATGCTTCTAGGACTCAAAGCGCATCAAACACTGAGTTTCTGTCAACCAATTCAGACCTTTTGCAGGCTTTTAAAAGTGACCCAGAAGCTATCAGGTATGTTTTGTTCATAAAAAACTGTCTTCTGATTTTTTGATGCTATTTTAAAATCTTTTTTGTGTTGAGAGCATTTGATATATAAAACTAATCTCATGTTGCTTTAATTCATCTTTTTGTCATTCCTTTTTTTGTTTCTTAATTGTAAAAATTTAATTCCAAACTTGAAAGGCCTGTTTGATAACATTTTAGTTTTTATTTTGGAGTTTCATTTTTTGTGCAAGAGGCAGAGGGAATGTATATGGGCGAAAGGAGAAATGGAGAAAGATGGGGGTAGGTAGTAGGAGAAAGGAAGGAGGAATATATTAAGGGCGACCCCAAGCCAACAAGGCTCTGCGCTTTGCGAGGGTCTAGGGAAACGTCTGTCAAACACAACCTTACCCTTGATTTGCAAAGAAGTTGTTTCCACGACTCAAACCCGTGACCTTTCAGTCACAAAGGATCAACTTTGAAAGTGAAGACAATTATTTGCAGTTCATTTTGTGCATCTTTCCATATACACTTCTTTCACATTCCTTCCAACATCCATTCTCCATGCTTCTTCATTTCTCCTCTCTCCCATACACTTTCCCTTTATCTATACCACAAAAAATGAAAAATAAAAACTATACACCAAATGGCTATCAAGCAGGCCGTAAGTTAGCCAATAAATAAATAAATCAACCATAAGAAGTCTTGTGAGTCACAGTGTGTGGTGTGCGCCTCTAGTGGAGGTCAAATGCGACACGTTTTCATTTGATTTGCATGCACCACAGATGTATGTTTGTATACATCCTAAATTTTGAATGTGGCCGTATGTGCTAATGCGCATGTAGGAGGGAGGAGGGTGCCGTGTGTTGCGAATATGGCGTTTAAGAATGTGAAAACAAAACAAATTCGGAAATCGGAAACAAATAACCAAGACAAATCACACCAAGAATTAACATGGTTCGGCTCTAATTCCTAATATACTTAGGACAACTCATCATAGGCTGGAAAAACCCAACAGGGTGAAGTTGGGATACATTTGGCTGAACATGGTATTTAAACATTTATTCAGAAGTATAAAAGCTAAGAAATCATATGGATGTTCTTTCACTTGGCATCTGATAAAAGTAGAATCAAACCTTTGTAGCCATATGAAGCCAGTTCGGTTTCAAAGAGAACTTGGTAAGGTACACATTTGGGACTCTGTGGCATTGTCTCTCCATAGTCCATACTGAAATAATATTCCAAATAGGATGTTCTATATCAGATATCATAATTGTCATAAGTTAAGGTATTTCTTTTTGAGTTTTTGAAATTTCCCACATTCTACTCATGAAGCTTCTTATTTGGTTTTATTTTATACATATTTGATGTTTCTATCTTTTCATTCTGTTGATTTTAATAATATGCATCCCTATGACATTATACTATTATACTTGTTTCTGTGCTTGGATTTCAGATCGTTCCAGAATTTCATTTCAAATGCTGATCCTAACAGTCTGGCTGCTTTGAATCCTGGAAACTCCGAAGAGGTTCCTGCTGACATGGTTAAGACTGCCTCAAACATGATCAGCAAAATGTCACCTGAAGAACTTCAAAAAATGCTTGAATTGGCTTCCAGTTCCAGTTTCAACAATTTTAAGCCTGGATCAGTTCCTCCAAATGTCTCACCGGATATGCTTAAAACTGCATCTGATATGATGAGTAAAATGCCACCAGAGGAGCTACAGAAAATGTTTGGAGTAGCATCTTCTTTGAATGGGAGAGGTTCATCTTCAACACAAGGACCAGTCACTGGTAACAGAAGAAGTTCATCAGATTATTCAGAAAGCAGTGAGAATTCTGCAGTAAATGCACCTCAGGATGTGGGTGAAACAAGCTCTCAAGGAATATTTCCTAATTTGAGTTCTCCTCAGTCGAGCTTCCCTGCCTCTGCTGGTGATTTGCAAGAACAAATGAGGACCCAAATGAAAGATCCTGCAATGCAGCAGGTTCGTTCAATTTCTACATTAAAATACTATTCTTTGCATGTCTATTTCATTGGTTCTCAAAGTGCAAGGTCTGCATGTTCTGTCTAATTATTTTTGTTATTTTCATTATTAAGATGTTAGAAGCGGGAGCATAAGTAGTACTCGGATGTGTGCAAAAGTTGCGCTTAGACAATAAGTTGGTCATTCATGAGAAAAATATCTGATAAGATACACTCAAATCATGTCATTGGAGCTCGAAACCATCATAAATTTGGCTATTCATTGTACAAGAAAATTTCTGATTGGACTGCTATTGTTCTAACACCTTCCATTCACGCAGCAAACCCCTAACTGTCATAGGAATTTACTGGACCTTAAAAGTGAAAAGTAAAGGTTTTTAAGCCCTGAAACATGAGCAGTGTAGTAATCGATGATCAACCGTCTCTCGACTAATTTTACACATCGCACCTGTTCTACATGTGATGTTTTGAAAGAAGGATTTCTACCTCAAACTTTTTTGAACTGACTGATATATTATTAGATTCCTAACTGTGCCCATAATGTTGCTAGCATAATGACTTGAACCTCAAGCTTTTGATTGATGACGGTTTGTTATGTTTTTTGGTAGAGCAATTTTTATCCTGCATGATCATGCGTTCAACTTTTTTATTTTGGTCGTTTTTCTGGCAGATGTTCTCATCAATGATTAAAAATATGAGCCCCGACATGATGGCAAACATGGGCGAGCAGTTTGGTTTCAAGCTTTCTCGTGAAGAAGCTGCAAAAGCTCAGCAAGCAATGTCGTCTTTGTCACCGCAGGACCTGGACAGAATGGTAACTTCCTACTCGATTTAATGACTTTGATTTTCAATGCATTTGCTTCAATTTTTGTTAGTACTTGTCATACAAGTGTAAATATCCACCATATCTTAAAACAAACCATAGTTTCAGTCGTGAATCGGTGTGTTGATGAGTGATTTGATATTGAAACATACGATTCCATATCTTTTACCCATTATTCTCCTGCATCCAAGTGGAGCTGTGATTTAGTGCATTCAGTATGGATTTTGTTTATTGATTATTTTCTTTTGTAACTTCTCGTTGCAGATGAAATGGGCAGATAGGATTCAAAGAGGAGTGGAAGGTGCAAAGAAGACGAAAAATTGGCTACTAGGCAGATCCGGTCTGATTTTGGCAATATGCATGCTAGTTATAGCAGTAGTGCTTCATCGTTTGGGCTACATCGGTGCTTAGAGTGTGTAATTATGCTTGTAAATTACGAAAGATTAATTCGAAGTCTAACGTCGAGCTAAGTTACGGTAGCAACAGGCGAAAGCCGATATCTCTGTGGAACGCATCAAAAGAGGTGCTGTGAAAGGAAGAAAAGGAAAATGTTGGAGAGGGACGGGGTCGTGGTTCTATTTTGGTTAAAATGATTACCGGGTGCTCTCTCTTTGTAATGAAATCGCGAGTCGTAGCATTGTTTGGTTGTGTTTGTCAGAATTAACAGTTGGAGAGAAGCGTGCAGCCTATGAAATATTTGGATTCCATCTCTTAACATATTTGATTGTCCTTGTCATATAATCTGTCATTTATGAAGATTTTTTAAGCTTCACAATGGGCTAGCAATAATATGGTTTAAATTTGTCTTTGGCGAGAGTTGAATTTAAGATCTTTCACTTACAAGTGAAGAAAAATACTACCAAGTCGTAGTATTAAGTGGTAATTTTTTGCCACAGTTGAACACTAAATATTTGTTCATGGTTAAAACGTACCCATATTAAAATGGATACAAACCCTGCTCACAAAACCGAACCGTACCCATATTTAAAAGGGTAAATTATACAAAATTATCTCAATTATAGGTCGAGTCATAATCTCATAGTTCATATTTTAAACATTACAATGTTATACCTCGTCTTACGAATTCATTGCAATGCTAGATCTGTTAAATTTTTGGTAAGTTTGTTCTTAAATGATGAAATGGCAAGTGCAAGACCCACATCCTCACTTAGCTAAATTTAAAAATTAATTAAATATTAATAAAAATAAGATAAAATCATTTTTTTTAATTTAATAAAAAAAATGTGGGACCCAGCCATAACCACCCATCACCTCACTAAGACCTGACAATTTTTTACACAATCCGTAACATGACACGAAAATAATGGGTTTCGGGTTAATACGATGTCTAATTGGGTTGTTATCAAGTCATACGATAAGAACCTTTTAATAACGGGTCATTAACAGATTTACACGAGAATGACGCATAGGTAACTCATTTCGATACATTAAGAAAAAAAATTATTTTGATGATTTTAATTTTTTTAAACTACTAAAAAGGAAAGAGATCCTCTCCGGATCTTTCCCTCTAAAGCCTAGGGATCAAGTGATCCAAACCTTTAAAATTTGATCTAACGGTTACAAACAGAGAAGTTAGTAAAAAGTTTTAAAAGCTATAATAATTTTTGACTGTTGGATCATATTTTAAAGGCCCGAATCACTTAATCCCTGGGCTTTTGAGGGAAAGATCCGGAGAGGATCTCTTTCCCTAAAAAAACTTACTATGAAATACACTAGCCATAGTTTATATGTATATGTATAAGTTGTATGGAAATTATTATTAGCACTTCAAAAATCTCATTCTACACTCCTTATAAGTGTATTTTTCTTTCTAATTATAAAAAGTTTGGAGTGCCAAATTAGATTTTTGGAGTGCTAATAACAATTCCTTGTTGTATATTAAATAGGTATTATTGTATTCTTATTTTATACAAATTTAAAATTTTAAAATTTTAAAATTTTATTTATTTATTTATTTTTATGGTATACTATAGGCAAAGAGTGAGATTAAAAAATTATAAAATACATTAAAAATTAAAAAAAAAATCAGTAATTTAAAAATATCAAACACATTAAAAAAATTATAACAATTATTTTCCAAGTGCCAAAAATGTGAAAAAATATGCAAACGCAGGTGATCACATCCTCTATGCTTTGAGGATGGGTACGTCGTCATTTGAATTTTTTTAAAGCCACACAAACCTTCCAGAATAGTATTTTTAAGGGAGTTCAAAATAAATAGAATTCATAATCATTAATGGTTACATGGTCGTGATTGCATCCTCAAGATGATGGGTACATGGTCGTTTAGATTTTAAGACCCTCCAAATCTCATTAGTGTTTTTTTTATTGAGTGCAAAACTAATAAACTTAATAATAATTATTGTATGAGTGAAAGATGTAAAAAAATATATACAAATCACTCGTAGTGACAAGCTTTACAACTTTCGTGAGGATGTCAACTCCGAAATCCAACACCATAATCCATACACTTTAGATGTAAATTTAACCGTCGATTGTCGTTTACGCTTTATCTACGCACTGAATTTCATTTTTTAGATTTTTTTTTTTTAAAGTGATCTTTTACCTGATAAAAAAATGAAAGGTTCGAATCGTTGATATCACATTCCGATATTTATGGTGAACTGAAATATGAGTTGATGTTATCTAGTTTATAGATACTTTATAAACTTTGAGCAATATTTTCACTAATGGTGAAACTTTGAACCTAATATCAACGATCTGAACCGTTCATCTTCCTGCATCCTTTAAGAGATCATGTTTTTAAAAAACAAAATTTGGTGAGAAGAATGGAGCATAAATGTAAAATACAATCAATGGTTAAATTTAGATATATAATTTATGTTATTATAGTGGCAAATTTCGGAGCTGAGACTTTCACGAAAGTTGTAAAGCTTGTCATTAGAAGTGTTTATATATATATATATATATATATATTCACACTTCTACACTGATTAAAAAAACTATTTAAAACCTTGCTTAAACAATAGCCATAGGTGTAACAACCCGTCCCCAAAAAATTTACAATCTTTATAATTTTTAAATGTGAATTTACGAAAATGCCCTGTGAGGCAAAGACGTTGACTTTTGTTGACCATCTTGTCATGTCATGTAAGGTTCGTTTTCTTGGCGTATTCTCGTAGTACTTGTCGCTACGAACGCGTAGGCGCAAATGGAACATAATTTGGAGTTATAACGAATGACTTATTAATAAATGAAGTTGAGGGAAAATTCATTTTCTTCCATAATACCATCAAACTTGGAAAACACTAGGTTATCAGCATCACTCTCATATTCACTCTCTTCAAACTCACTACCATCTTCTTCAGCAGCTTCTTCATTCTCTTCTTCAACATTCCCCTCAAAACTAATAAGTACATCAAAGAAGACTTCAGTATCCCCTTCTCCTACCTCAGCCATAGATTTCCCCTTGTTCTTCTCTGGCTTTTCACCATTTTTCTCTTTTTGACCATTCCCAGAATCAACATTTCTCTCTCCTACCTCAATCACACATGGTTGCACTAGTTGAGATGTGCAACAATCATCCACTTCTTGGCCCAACATCCCCCTCTGAACTATTACCTCCTCAATTACCAATTTACTTGGACCACTTACTTCCATAGACTTCAAAAACTGTTGCTCTTGGGTTCTGACTTTTTATGTTGTCAATTCTTAGATGTACATCTCAATCACTCTATCTTTTGGAACAAAATTGCACATTGCTGAACATCAGAATCACTTTGAATCAGCTTCAAACCATTGCAAAGGTCCATGTTTGGAATCTTGTAATAGTAGTTCATGAACCGCTCACTGTATCCAACTGCCTTCACCATATCATCTATCATTTGCAGTGACATGAGGTCTTTATCATAGTTATCTATATATGTCATTTTTCCCTTAGCGTAAAGGTCATAACTTATCTCCCCACCATGATGCAATTCAATAGAGAATTGTTCTAGATATACTGAAATTCATGATGTGGTAGAAACTAACACACAAATTAAACCCTATAAATTATGCAATCGTAGTATAAATAAGTAGGGATCGTTCTATCCTGAGGATTAGAAGGGATGCTAATCAACACAAACTAAACTTATAAACTGAAAACTAAGTTAAACTAACAACAAAACCATGACTGAGGGGGATTTTTGGAAAAATTTTAATAGAAATAAAGTAAATTGTGTACGAGATATAGGTGAAAGGCTAGCTAGATGATTTTTCTCCACACATGAAACATACGCATACAAATCGATTTCCAATTATTCTTCCTATAAATCATGAATGACAATACCCCAAATTAATTATGAACAGCACTAATTAACTCTCAGATTTTCCTAAGTTCATTGAATTGGACTTAGCGACGCAACCAAATTATTCTTCTTAAGTTCCCTAACTATGAAAAACATGAGAGATATATCTCAAAGATCATTAGGTTCTGTGAAAATCATAAGCATTGACGAAGCATTCGTAACTATGAAAAGTATGATACTCCTGCCAAGAATTTACTTAACTCAATCATGACTAGTGACTTTTACTACTTGCAAATTATGTTCATAACAATTAGGTGAAATTCCTTATATTCTAGTATCAAATCCCTGCATGCAAACTAAGTATGCATCCTTAACAAACATACAAGAATAAGTTTTCTACAAAACAGATAAGTAAATTGCATTCATGTTTTATGAAACAATAATTGGATGTAATCAATTTATATAAAACATATGATCATGGCTTCGAATTCACCTCTAACTAAAAAGAAACTTAGTTACGCATGTTCAACATAACTGAAAAACAATCTAAAATAACATTAAAACTAAACAAGGATAGAAAGAACTTTGAAAACTCTAATGGTTGAATGGCAGGTTACGGCACAATCTCCCCCCCTTTGGCTCTTGCAAGTTACGGCACCAATTTGGAATAGAACATGTGGCACCAAGTTTTCTCCCCCCCCCCCTCTAATATTTGCGGCACAACTTGTTTATATAGGGCAAAGAGCATAGCTAAATCCAAGGAGAAAAAGGATTAGGGTGTTTAAATTATCTTAGGACTCCTAGAATCAGATGGGAATTATTTAGAATGTGATAAGGATTCTTTTTGCAGCTAGAAATAAGATGAGATAATGTGGGATTAAAATGGGATAATGTTGGATAAGGTTATATAAGATAAGATAAGACTGGATAAGATGAGATAAGTTTGGATAAGAAAGAGTTCCTCTCCAACTAGGATTCCCCTTTCTTGTGTAATTCCTTGTCTTCCAAGTCTCAACTTTAATATCTCCAGATTTTAGCACATGTCTAGCACCATTTAAACACCAAAAATGTCCAGCTCTTATGCTCTCCACGCATGCTATCCAATCCAAGTCCAAAACTGCTCCAAATTGCTCCATTTTGCCATTTATTGTCATCTTTACCAATTGGACCTACAATAATACAAAATAACACAAATTACCAAAATAAATGGAAATAACGAAGTAAATGCAACGAAATAAGATAACAAAGTTGCATAAATATGCTTCTATCAATTCACAAAAACAAACCCTAATTAAAAGCCAACAACAAACAAAAGCAATAGCATTTTAACCTAATCAGAAGCCAACAAAAACCAAAGCACATGACTAAGAAAAACCCAAGCCGACACACTATATGCAAATAGCCAAAGCACAGTAACCATTTCTTGACAAGAATAAACAAAACAAT